AGCCCCAACTGAGTCTTTTTTTTTTTAAGCTGTAAATAGACACAATACCCTTATTTTATTATTTATTTATTTATTTTTATGTGGTACTGAGGATGGAATCCAGTACGTCACACATTCTAGGAAAGCGCTTTACCACTGATCTACAACCCAACCCCCTACCCCAGCTGAGTCTTGAAATGACTGCAACTCTAGTTTACAGTTTGACTATAACCTCACAAGAAACCCTGAGCCACAACCATTCAGCTAAGCCACTACCAGATTCCTGACCTCTGGAAACTGAGAGATACTATTTATTGTTTTAAGCTGCTAAATCTTGGCAGTAATTTGTTCATACTATAGTAACAGTATACAGGACATATAGCAAGAGATCTGGAACCTGGCAAAGAACTGAAAAGCAGAAAGAAATCAACATAAGAAAAATATTTGACTTAGGGACTGAGAATTAAACCCAAGGCCTTTTTATTTTATTTTGAGTCAGGATCTTCAAGGCTGATCTTGAATTTTCAATCTTCCTGCCTCAGCCTCATGGAGTTGCTGGGATTATAGGCATTCACCATCACATTAGGCAGCAGCTGACTGTTTTAAGTGAGTTTAAATTTTGCTGATAGACTGTCCTAATGAAGCTCCAAAACAGAAGACTTATGAACTTAAATAATAAAATTTTATAACTACACACACACACACACACACACACACCCTCCTCTAGAAGAGAGGTCAGATGGCAAATCTGTAATCCTTGTATTCTAAAGAAATTACATGAGTTACTCTGAACTGGTACCATTTCTTCCCATTCAAAAAAAAAAAAGCTTACCTGTTTTGAAAGGAGGGATGGATTTCTCCTTTCTTGCTAATTGTTGAGGGCCACAGCAAGTSGGGATGACATATGGCATTTTGCCAGAAGGGAGTGGTTGAGAGGTGATGCCAGGGAGCCATTGAGATGATGATGATTAAGATTAGCTGTGTATATTCAATTGTATATAGACCCCTGCTGTCCGCCTAGGGTGCCTGCTACTTTGGAGTTCTCCCGGGGATTCCTGGGGAGTTGGTTGGGGAAGTTCCAGGGTGTAGTATTGATGGAAGGGCCGCATGGGTGGTGTTCTCCGCAGAGTTCGGAAATAAAGTTTGTTCCTCCTTGAGTGGCTCGTGATTTGTGCCCAGCCAGACTGTGGCAGCTAATGACTTTTCTGGCATCTTCGCACAATACGAACCTGACTAAACCATACAAAAACCCCCATTCTTGGAATTACTCCTCCTTGGAAGTGAGTATTATATAAGCATTCTTCTCAAGATGAAAAGTAGTTCCTACCTAAAGTCCTTAACTGAATAAAATATCTGCACCCCATGTATACTGGTTGTTTTTTTAAAACAGGGTATCAGTATCTTCCTTGCAAAGGAAAGTTTTCTTCCTTTACCCACATCAACCTCTGGAATCCCATCCCTATTTTTTGTTGGTTTTTTTGGGCGGTGGGGTGGGTACCAGGGATTGAACTCAGGGCCACTTGACCACTGAGCCACATCCCCAGCTAGGACAACAGCCTAGGACAAAGCAGAGTTTTCATCTTAAGCTCTTTATTTATAGACAGGGTCTCACTGAGTTGCTTAGCGCTCCACTTTTGCTGAGGCTGACCTTGAAGCAATCCTCCTGCCTCAGCCTCCCAAGCCACTGGGCGCCTTGGATTACCACTGCGCCCGAAGGATCCCATCCTTTTATGTATGGAGTGCTTTTTTCTTCCAGTTTCCATACTTTTCTCAACCAAGTCAATACTTCAATCCCCATCTCTGTATTTCCTTGTCTCCAATTTTGGTTAATGGAGAAGAAAAATCTTTTTCTGACTGGTTTCCTCAGCCATTTCTATGTTTTTCAATACGAATAAATTCTATTACTTGTAGTTACCTGAAGCATAACACACAGATAGTTCCAACTTTCCAGATACTCCATCTCTTGATTTCAAGAAAATTGCCCTTGCCAGCCTTCTAGCATTCATTCTTCTATCATTCCTGTTTTTCTAGCTGGCTTATTATCCCAGAAGCTCTAACTCCTTATCTGTTCAAAGAGAATTTTCTCCATACCTCTCTTTTTTTCAGACAATTCCAAGAAAGAGCTCACAGTCAGTCCCTCATTTCAAAGACCCAGCTATTCCCCTTGGTTATTTTATTTATTTTTGTGGTACTGGAGACTATTTTAACAGTCTCAGGGTACCAGTATCTTCCTTGCAAAGGAAGGTTTTTCTCCCTTTACTCCATATCCACCTTGGGGATACCATCCTCTTTTTTTTTCTTTTTTTCAAGGGGAGTGGTACCAGGGCTACTTGACCACTAAGCCACATCCCTTTATAATTTTGCAGTACTGAGGGCCAGTTAGATAAGCACTCTACTACTGAGTTATAACCCTAGTCATTTTTTTTTTTCATTTTATTTTGAGACAGGGTGTTGCTAAATTATCCAGGCTGACCTTCAACTTGTGATCCTCCTGCCTTAGCCTCCTCAGTCACTGGGATTACAGGCATGCACCAAGGTCCTGGCTTCCCCTTGGTTTATTATAAACAAGAGTGACCAAATTCTAGATCAGATATACTTGTGACCCTTTCACAGCCTCCTGAATGGTACAATAACCTCCAAAATGTCAGTCTTCAATGCCAACCCACTTCCTAGGTATTGTGGTTTGCCGCAGTCTGGCTGGGCACAAATAACTGAGCCACCATGAGGCACTTGTAGGTTCAAACAGGAACTACTTTATTGCCCGAACTCCAGTGGCATTCCAGGCGCACTCCCCGGGAACTCTCTCAGCCCTCAAAGAKGCTCCAGGAGAACTCCAGGCGCCATCCCACTCGGCTGTGGCTCTCAACAGTGGTTCCCCTTGCCAGGGCCACAGTGAAGACCACAAAATCACAAAATCAGGATACATTTCAAATCTGGGTGGGAAAGGGTACATCTAAAGAGATAACATCTATGTTCATCCTCTATCCCACCCAGAAAAGATTAAGAGTTGTGTCCTCAAAGACCCCTGATTTTTGCCTTTAAAAAAAAAGAAAGAGGGCTGGGTATGTGGCTCAAGTGGTAGCCCGCTCGCCTAGCATGCGTGTGGCCCGGGTTCGATCCTCAGCACCACATACAAACAAAGATGTTGTGTGCTGAGAGCCATTAGCCAAGTAGGTATGACAATTTCCTTGCCAGCATACCCCATGTTGCTTAGAGGAAGGACTCGTGGAAATGGACTTGCCTTGGACATTTGCAGTGACACTGCATGTATGTTTGAGAAAGGACCCGGGTGGATCCGGGTTTAGGGAGGATCCTACTGGATTAGGGCGGTTCCAGGTTTAAGATTTTGCTGCAGAATGTGAATTTTTTCCCCAGAACGTGTTTGTAGAGGGCCGATGTGAGTTCGGGAATAAAGAATTGCTGTTTGGATCTACAAAGCTGTGAGTGGCTCGTGATTTTGTGCCCAGCCAGACTGCGGCAGTTGTGTCCGCCAAAAACTAAAAAATAAACATCAAAAAAAAAAAAAGAAAGAAAGAAAGAAAGAAGAGTTAGAGCCTTACAGCCTCCTTGACCAGTTTTCTACTGGATTCGATCATTGCTTCTGTCAGTGTAAATTCCGTTTTAATCATTTCCAGCACATTGATAGCTGATTCCAATGGTGTRAGCTCAGCTTCCATATCAAAGGAACAGTCTAGGACAAAGCAGAGTTTTCACTTTAAGCTCTGTTCTAAGAGTGGAAATTATGTCCAAAAAATATACACATTTATGGCAAAGGATCATGCAAATATATGAAGATTTTCGTTTTTGTTGCTGACATACTTGCCACAGGCTTTTGTATAAGGGCAAATTCAAATCAATGAGTTTAAAGTGACATCATTTAATATTTCTCAAGATGGCTAAATTATTTTTTAACATATTCATTTGCCTCTCAAATTCAGGATAACACATCCTCCTCAGATGTAAGTGGCCAGAAACTCAACACAGTTTGCTAAACAGCTACCAATTTCAATTCAGGAAAAAAAAAATGTGCTCATACTTTGAAAAATTCTCTAACATGGGGAAAATATGTCCGTATTAATATAACTCACTTTCGACATAAACAAAGTTGTATTAACAATTAACAGGTGGGAGAAAACACACATACATACACACACACACACACATACACACAAGCAACCCAAAGAACCTTAATTGGAGAAACCTAGAGCCAGAGAATACACCCATTATAGAATGAAAAAGATCACCGTGATGGAAACAGCAGTGCACCTTAACCSGGAATCCTTCAGTTTCCGAATATAAGTTTGAAAACAAAACCCTACGTAAGCAAGCCCAGAGAAGAACACAAATATAGCCATACCTAAATTTTCCCCTTCTTCAATGCGTGACAGACACTGCATAACCCGAAGCAACCGGGACACCGTATGCTCCTTCCCCAAGGGCCTGACAAGCAAAGCTGAGAAAGAAGACATCGTTGGCTTGACGACCCCTACCCGCTACCCAGCGCTCACAGACCCCTCCTTCCCCGGGCCAGGCCCTCACCCTGCATGATGTCCCGGATCTGCCTGAAGTCCCCGTACCGGCTACCCCGAAAGGCCCGCAGCGCCTCGTGGAAGTAGAACTTGAGCACCCAGCGATTCACCGCCTCCTCCAGCCGTGCCTCCCCCGCGCCCCGCTCCGCCGCGCCCCCCAGCCCCGGCTCGTGGCGCCCTCGCCGAGCCCGCCCGCTACTGCGAGAMGCCCGTCTGCCCGCAGCCCGCCCGCTGCCGTCGTTGCTCCCGCCTCCTCCCGCCATCGCGTCCGATCGCCGTGCGCCCTCCCCGCCTTCCCGGCTGGGCCGCTTCCTCGGCTGTGACGCCGATGGGTCACGCACTACGCCCGGGCCGGAAGCGGGACCCGCAGTCCCGGCTCCAGCGGCCATGATACGGACGGTGTTTCAAGCCGCCCGAGGGCTTCTGGGAGGGAAAGGACCGGGGGCCCCAGCCCCCCTTCCGGCCTCCGTAGTTCCCGGAGTACGCGCCGCAATGCCTGCTGGGGCTTGAAGTCCGCACCACCGAGACCCGGGAGCTCCTCTCCAAACTTAAGAATTCGATGCTGGAGACGTGGGACTCAGTAAAGATACTGAAAAGTAAGTACATGCAGACTAATCACTTTGAAAAGTGTGCAAAGGAATCCCAGCAGTTGGGGAGGTTGAAGCGGAAGATAGCGAGTTAAAAGCCAGCCTCAGCAATTTAGCGAGGCCCTCAGCAACTTAAGACCCTGCCTCTAAATAAAATATAAAAAGAGCTGAGGATGTGGCTCAGTGGTTGAGTGCCCCTAGGTTCAATCCCCAATACCAAAAAATTAAAAAATAAAAAATAAAAATAAAATAACCAAGTTCAAAACAAGCCTCAGCTATTTAGCAAGGCCCTAAGCAACTTAGCAAGACCCTGTCTCAGAAAATAAAAGAGCTGGGGATGTGACTCTGTGGTAAAGCGCCCCTGGGTTCAATCTAGTACATACATACATACATGCGTACATAATACATGCATGAATACATACATAAATAAATAGAATAAGCAAAAGAATCACCCACAATCCCACATGAAAAGAAAGTTGACATTTAGGCTTCTAGACTTCCAATGTCTTCTACCATTCCAGGTAGTTGAGATTGAATCAGAGGTCCTCTACCACTAGTCCTTCTGTTTTTTGTTTGGAGAAAGGGTGCTGCTAAATTGTAGAGGCTGGCCTCCAACTTGCAATTCTGCTTCAGCCTCCTGAGTCACCGGGATTACAAGCATGTGCCATTGAGCCTGGTACTAATGCCTATTTATATGTGTGTGTGTGTGTGTGTGTGTGTGTGTGTGTGTGTTTGAAAAATGGGATGGTACTACGCGTATTCTTTCATGCCTTCATTTTTATTAAACATGCAATGAACATCTTTCCATGTCATTTTTCTACAGTATCTTTGACAGCTACATAGCACCCCAGTATATGGATGAAGGAAAGTTGTTTTGTTTAGGCTACTTAAAAGTTTTGTAGAACATTTAGCCAGGTGTGGTGGCACACCTGTAATCCCAGCAGCTGGGGAGGCTGAGATTGCAAGTTCAAAGCCTGCCTCAGCAATTTAGCATGGCCCTAAAGAACTTTGTGAGACCCTGTCTCAAAATAAAAAGTTTTTTAAAGGGCTGGGGTTGTGGTTCAGCAGTAGAGCGCTCCTCTCACACGTGCAAGACCCTGGTTCGATCCTCAGCACCACATAAAAATAAATGAATAAAATAAACGTATTGTGTCTAACTACAACTAAAAATGAATTTTTAAAAAAAACTTTTTTAAAAGTGCTGGGGGGCTGGGGATGTGGCTCAAGCGGTAGCGCGCTCGCCTGGCATGCGTGCAGCCCGGGTTCGATCCTCAGCACCACATACCAACAAAGATGTTGTGTCCGCC